CAAAGGATCTATTGAAATGAAAACTCCGTGGGGATCGCGAATGGCGACCGTGGGACGCCAGTGATGAATTTATCCGTATACCAGGGGAGAAAGAATTAAAGAAATATGTCATTAGGGGTCGCAGCCGCGCGTCGTGACCATCCACCTCCAAACGCATTGTGGCTGCGAGACAATCTAGTAGCCAAGTCAATCGCGTGTGGCAGCGATGGTATCGAGTGAGGGCAAACGTGCCCGTGTCGTGAAGTCGAATGCCGACGTGTAGACCATTCGGTCAAATAACCGCTTCTTTCGGTTCTCGTCGTGAGAGGGTATCTGAAGAATGCAAATGTATCGTTCATGCCAGAAAAAAAACAAAGTCCGCGTCTCCGGTGACGCTAGACCTCCCAAACTTTTCCGATAGCAAAAATCTCTTCCAGTTTCGTAAGGCGATTGAGTGAATCTGCCAGATATCGCCACAACTTTAGCCCATTACAGGCTGGCCAAAGCTAGGGTGGGCAAAGTACGATGATGCCTTGGTAGGACCAACGCAGTTCGCACAGCTACACTCCGCAACACCGTGCTCCCACATGGTTTGCTGGTAACCATAGTGTCCAGGGAAGTTTTGTTGGTTGTGGCGGTGACCATAGTAGTTGTGCGATGGCTGCTGATAGCGGGTGTTCCACTGGCCAGTGGTAGCGGCCTGGGAGAACCAATCGTTGTAGCGAGCGTTGGTAGAGGTGGCTGAATTAATGTACTCGGGCGTGCCATAGCCAGAATCGGGAGGAGTGAGCGGGGCATTCTGCCAATTCCAGTTGCCGCCGTAGGCTTGCTGATGAGCCAACTCGTTGCGCTTGATAGCCTCGTAGCGCTCGTATTCAGCCGCCTGCTGCTGAACAAACGTATGATAGGAGGATCGTCCACCGTATCTGTTGTTGATGTTGGTGTCGATGGCGGGGACGAGTCTCTCGCGGGTGACTCTTGCCGCAGCCTGGTCCTTTAGGATCTTCCATTCATCCCAGCTGGTGAGCCAAGCCTTGTAGTCCGCGCTGTAATCCAGGTTGACGTAGAGACGCCAGCCGGATTGCTCGAGCCACTCGTGTTCCAGAGCGTTGAGCTCAGCGACGGGGATGCCGCTCACCTCAGACCAAGAACGGTTCTGGAAGGTGTTGTCGTCCAAAAACTTGCTTCCAAGCAGGAGGGAAACGGTCAGCATGCGCCAAACCTGTCCCTCGGGTACAGTGTACGAGGGGTTGTTCTGCTTGAGGGTGTTGACCCGCTTCGCCAGGTAGTTCATGCCGAGGAGAATGGTGCTCTTGGGCAATCTCGTCGATGAGAGGATCTGCGAGACGAACTTGCGGAACGGGGGCGTGACGGCCGTGGTCGACAGCGGCATAACAACGCGGGTGGCCATCTCGGCAACGAACTCGGCCATTTGGTCGACCTCATAGTCGAGGACGGCACAGACACCTCCGGGCATGATGGCGGTATTGAGTGGCGTCCGACGAAGATCGAATGTAGATCTTTGTCGGGTTGAGGATACTGCTCGATGTACTCGGAAGAGACACTTAGCAGTGGGAGAAATGCCGCGTCGAGCTAGCGATGGTTGTCCAAGGCCGATGGAAGTCGGTGTGTCGGTTGGGTGAGAGGGTTGGTGACACGAGCCCTTAGTAGCTGCGAATAGCCATCAAGGGTTGAAATCGCGACGAGGGGAGGAGCAACAAGACGTCTAGAGATCGGATCGATGAAAAAGGTGCAGCAGTCGTGTCGCTAATTGAGGACGGCTGAAAGACCCAGCGAAAGATATGTATCTTGGGCGGAGGAAGAGATGCAGTGATGGCTGACTCGGGAAAAGGATGCTTGAACGGAGAAAGGTCGTCGAGGGCGTCAGAGGAGTTCTAAGGGCCGCAATAGAAGGGACGAAGAAAGTTGTGCAAATGAAATGGAAAGCCGCAGCTCTGTCCTGTTTGGTGAATGGTCAGCGAGAATATCCAGGAAATCAAAAAACTTTGACTGTCTGTGCCTTGAGTCTGATACACAAGCTTCGTCGAACGATGCGTCAAGTAGTGGCGGGCCGGTATTGGAGTGAGGAAATGCTGGGAGGCGACGTAGGCGACAGCGGCAGGGAAGGGGGTCCCCTGTGGTCAACCAATGCAGTGGCCATCGTGTAGCTCCAGCGCACCAGCATGGAGGAAACATTTGCTGCTGCTTGAATGTGGCCGTTTGGGACTGCAGTGCTTAAAACCAAGGGCTGGTCATTGACTGAGGCCGGTTCGATCGTAGCACATGGGTGGCAGAACGTCTCCAGACCATACCGAAGCATGCCTTCTATCGATACCGCATGTGGAATTCGATCGCATTTCGGGCGTCGAGTAGTTGGATGAAGCTTGTGTACCAGGCTCTCCAGGATGACTCTGGATAGATTGGAGGTTCACACTGTTGGGATTGTAGCTTACCTTGAGGAAGGTGACCGTAAACAGGTGTGCGAATTCGAAAAGGACGGTGTAACTTGGAGATGTTCCAAGTGTCGAGCAGCAGACGCGATCAAGTCGACTCGATTTGTTACGTTCTTGCTCAGTGTCGTGCACCTAAAACGTAGTCGGGCCTGTACGGGGGGCAGGCGGGCGGTTGTTGTAGAGAGGCGACAATCGAATTCGACAATATCGTGCAGTAGAGGAGATGAGAGATGAGAACCTGAATCCTGAGTTGTCGACGACTTTGGATGGAGATATCGTGCAGAGTCGAGGACAGGGGATTTCGTCGTGATACGGCGGATTCGGAGGTTTGAAAAGAGAAGAAGGTTTCGGGGAGGGGAGAGAAGGAGGAATAAAGTCGGACAAGAAGAATCTCGAGGAGTGAGAATGGATGGGACGGGTTGGGATGGATGGGATGGAGATGGGGAGAGAGAGAGAAATGGGGACGGGGGTGAGGATGTAAAGTGGAGAGAGGAATGATGGCGGCGTGCGTGTGAATGGAGGCGAGAGAGGGCGAAGTTGAGTGAGAGAAGGGTGGAAGGGGTGGTGGAAGGGGCGGTAGCAGCCCAGTAGTCGGGTGGTGTACGGAGTGCGGATAGGTACCTGAGGACCCAGGACTCAGGTAGCCCAGACGAGCCCGGTACCTGGCCGTGGTACCTTGTTCCTTGGGATGAAGCCAGTACCTATGCGGCAAAAAGCCGGTGACGGGTACTTTGAGGGACTAGGTAGGAGGACCAAGAAAACGGGGTGACAGTGACGGAGTGGACAGCCCGGCAGCAAAGTGGGCACCCATCGGTTCCATACTCTGTGCGGTGCACCTGGGCTGTCAGTGTAAAGGTACCTCCAGCAAAGTACCTCAATACTTTCCTACCGCCCTGGAGGAACCAGGCCAGAAGAAACAGGAGCGGACCTGGAGGGAATTAAAAAAAAAACTCACACACTGCAGCAAGCACCACCCACCTTTTCTGGACACTAGGGGAATTGAGGAATAGAACATCGTGTCGATTGACGGTTCAGCAATATGAAGTATCTTTCGCTGACATTACGTAGTAAGGTATTATGTATTCTTTCCACACCAGAGGTCCCACGGGCAGCTTGTACAGTTTGAATGTACACCTCAGAGAGACAAGACGAGACGAGACGAGAAGGGGATTACAAGTGTTCAGCTGGCAGCACAGGGTAGGTACTTGGGGCAAGAGTACAGAGTAGAACAGGGCATTTGTAGGTACTCTGACACGGGCACCTTAACACAGGAATGACCGGTTGTGAGCAGCAGTGTTCGGATAGTGTATGTAGGTAGGTATGTACTCCGTACTACGTAGGTCTCGCTGATCGTGGGATGGGCAGTGCCGTGTCTGGATGGCTCTATGTACGGAGTACTCCTCGCCGTGTCGACTGGTACAAGTAGACAAAAGAGCAATTTGGGACACATTGGCAACGGGGATGAGAAGGGGACGGCAAGAGTGGTGCTACAAGAGTGTGGTTGGCAACTGCCCATGGCCACCCCCCCGCTCACTTCGGTGGTGAGAGCCAGACACGGAATTACATAGTAGACTGGAATTACAAACTCGAGCAGTATGGAAAAAATGCGTTACAACGAAAATTAAAATAAAAAACATGATGGATGATCAAATGAGAAAAGGAAGAAAAAAAAAAACATGGGCGGGCCTTGGATTGGATCGAACGTGGAGACGACAGGGTGACTGGCTCCGACGGACCACGACGCTAAAAGAAGGTACGGAGGTACTTCGTCATCGGGACAAGCGAGGGATCGATACGTATCTCCCGACCCCCGTTTTAGGACAGAAAAGGGCGGCACCGGATGATTGAGGACGAGTGTGGGTTTCAATCTTCAGATTGGACGTCAAAGTTGAAAGAGGGAAGGGGGCACTCTTGCCCCCGGCTCCACTCTCACCTTCCATGAGTCCACGACACGACACCGCTCCTGCTGCGAAGCAACCGGGGGGGCCACGCTGGAGGGGGAAGGAACTGGGCATCGACCAGTCATTAGCCGTTGTTTGGTGATGGTCCAGGGAAAGTGCTGCTGGGTGGGTGGATCACTGGACCGCCAACCGCCATTGTACACCTCACGCCGGACGGGCACTCACTTTCCATTTCGATGCATGGATTTATTTCACTTGCGCTCACCACTTTGTGAGTACCTATCTGTGTGTTGAACTTGGGTCAAGGTGGTGGTGGTGTTGGGTGAGTGAACTCTGCTGTCTGAGGCAGCAACATAATTGGCCTAGCTCTAGCATTGGATTCCCCATGCTGCACATCTGTCTCTGCCTTTCATTAACCCTCTCATTCATGGAGGGACGGCAGTCAGTTGGGTTGAAATGCCTGAGAGCAGCCAAAAACATGACTGGGACATCAACATGTTGCAGGTGTATCCGTGCCTTGGGTGCAGGTGCAGGTGCAAGGGCCACTTGCCAGTTGTGACAGGGAGTTATCTATGGCTTTACAATAAAGAGGCAGGCAGGCGCGGGAGAGAGCAGGACTGCAGGAGACGTAGGCGGCAAAAAGGGCAGGAAGGAAGGAGAGACCACGCTCGAGACAGTCGAGACAGTCGAGGCAGCGCAGGAAGCAGCAGCCCGAAGGCAGGAAGGAAGAGGAGCCACTGGCCAGGACTCAGGAGGGCGGTACGGAAGACAGGAGGCAGGGGGTGGGCCACACCTGCAGCATCGCACCTGCCCTGCACCTGCCTGCACCTCACTCCTGGCACTCACACACTGCAGGAGCGCTGGCCGGTGTCTCGCCCTCCTGCCTCTGCTCCCACGCTCCTTCCTGCTCCTGGGCTGGTTGGCTCCTGCTCTGTTGTTATTATGGCTTGTTGCTGGATGGCTGGCTGCCGCCCTCCTCGAACCTGACCTTCCTGGCCAGTCCTGCTTGGCCACTTCCTCCAATCAAATCGGGCTTGGTGGAGTCCAAGGCACTGCCTGGGGGTGCACGTCTCAATGGCCCGAAGTTGGTGGTGTCTCTGTAGCAAAGCTCACGCTAAAACATAACCACGACACAGAGCAGCCAAAAGTTCGAACCTCTCGTCATGGAAATGGAAGAACATGGACAATTCGGTGGTGTACCAGAGAGACTGGCACGACGCGAGAGAGGTGAGACCGCTCTTGACAAGAGAGGCTACGCTGTATCTGTGTCGTTGACTGCCTTTCTTGCAAACCATCAGTGAAATGACAGGACAAACTTCGAGTGCCTACTCTTCCTGTCACATCGTGGCATCACTGCAGCAAAGTCGATAGCATGGCATGCACGTGAGAGGACCAACGGCAATGAGAAAAAGCAAAGCTGACTGTCAGATAGGCTTCATCCACAAGGAAACAATGACAGCTCACAATACCTACCATCAATGGCAGCTTCGATCTGATTTCCATAGTCACCCGTCGTCCGGCACACGAGCACAAGTGACGACGAACAACAATCATTCAATAGTCTGCCGTATCTGCTGTATCTGGTCTACCTGACGACGAACCAAACTGCCCTGGCGACGACGTCGTCTACATAGTACGCATAACACAGTAGTCGAACGCACACCAAGGCATCCGCACCATCTTGAATCTTTCCGAGTCTCCCTTCCCATATCCATGCGGATCGAGTAACCAGCATACCTCTCACACCCCCGGGTGCACCATGGAAACAAAAGCCAAACAGGTCATTCGGCGCGCAAGGAAAAAAAAAAAGTCGTTAATGGCGGTTCGGCTCTAGCGTTCCTTGAGAATGGGATGCCCCAGTCTCGCAAGGCTTCTAGATGTACTACAGAGTATTGGGCTAGCCTTGTGCAATTTGTGCCAGTCGCCTGTACCTTGCATATGGGTCAAGGAGGCTGGGATGTCGCGACTATAGCAGGTACTCGTATCAACAAGATGCACCGAGGCAACCTGTGAGGTACCTTTTCCCCCCTCCACCAGCACCGACAAGCATCATCTCTTTGGCTTGACCGCTGACCGCCTTGGTCGCAGCTCTCGGCACCTCTGAGATTCTCTGGGTCTAACCAGTGACGATTCCCGCGACCCCGTTTGGCGGCTGCATCGCCCTGGTCCTCATCTTCCACATTCACACTTCATCCCTGAGAGCGTCCTGGGCAGCCCAGCCTAGGCCACAGACCTGACAGAGGACTGGTCCTTTCGATAGCAATTACCTAGCAACAAGCCTCCATACTCAACGAGTTTGGTTTCGCAGTCATCCACAGCCCACACGCAACACTCGCACCAGGGGCAAGGGCAGGGCAATTAACCAAGCACCAGTGTGACACTGGGCACTCTCTGCTCTCTGCGTCTCTGCCGTGGGCTCTCCGTGACTCCGTCTCTTGCTTCTGGGCAATGGCCTTTTCTTAATTCGGGGTTCGGCGAATGGGAGTTCAGGGCCCATCACACTTGGCCTGCATTTCCGACTGCAATGGGCAAGGGACAGTCTGAGTCGGTGGACTGTGCCCATCATCCGATCTGCTGGGTGATCTCTGTGGCCTGGTCGCCGCCCGAGGGTCCCAAAGACGGGCAGCACGCAGTTTGTCCTTCTCAGAGTGCGAGTCTGAGCTTGCACCTGTCTTCCCCAGCCAAAATCATCCCCCAGTCCGGTAGCCCGGACTCCCAGGTTTGCTGGGCAGGCTATGACGACGGCAGAGCACCCACTCACGAATCACCGTCACCATACCGACCACTAACGCATTGAACGGCCAGCGCCTGGCGGATATTGGCCGTGATGAGGCGTTAAGAGGTCTCGCTCCTTGTGCCTCGCATTTGCCTCACCTTCGGCCCATTGCTACGGTTTTCTTTGCCAGGCCCGCCTAGGATGAGATGGATCATGGATGGGATCGGCGCTGATCTCGACATGTTGGAAACACCACCGGTGAGCGAGGCAAGGGCTGCTATTCGTATGTGTTCGACTATTCGTACAACCATCTTCATCTCTGCGGCTTGCCTCGGGAGCATCGCCTCCGACACCACCTGTCTTGACCAGAGTACGCAGGGTATTCCCGTCGCAGGGTCAGGTCCGTATTGCCTTAGCTAAGCCGCACCGAGCGTTGAGAGGGTGCGACATCCAGTACGACGCGCAGTCAACTATTCGTATATCCAGTTCGCTTCATCGAGACGAGGCTACCTCGTGATTTCATGTGTGCGTATCTCAGTCTCAGTTGCCTCCGTGCCTCTGTCCCGCTACCTAATCAACATTTTCTAGCAAACGTGGCAGTCAATTCCCAAACCTCTTCGGGCCACGCGGGCGAAACCCTGTCACGAAGTACAGAGGTTCGTAGCAAAACACAAAATGGATTTCCAATTTCACCGCACCAAGATTCATTCCTGCAGCTCATCAGTGACCACCAGTGCCACCGTCCATTCGTCGAAGACAGCGGTGGCTTGCCGGGAGCCCAGCACCTAGCCAAACGCGGCATTTTCACATTTGGCATTATCGTCTCTACCCGCAGCAAGGCCCAGCAAAAACAAAGCTTTACGGATACGTACTGCAAATGTGAGTATATTGCATTTTCATCTTCTGCCGGCTTGGAAGTTGGATGAGATTGCAGCGGAGGAAGAGAAATACCGCACGCTCCACTCTCCGAGGCACCGTCCTAGATACAGTGCCCAGACGCCTCTCTCAATTCAGTTCTGTCATCTACAGACTAGCAGCACCCCCGAGGGTAATTGAGAGCGGAAGGGCTCCACCGGCCAAACGTGACTGGCACACAGGAAACAATTTCACACTCTCTGAAGTCTGGACGGCAACCGGTAGCTGTGTGTCCGGATGATGATCCTCCTACGCGCCTCACACACAAACCAAACATTATCAGGCGCGTTGCTTTCACCAGTCTTGTCGCCTCGGGTCGCGGCTCACCTCCGGCAGGGCAGTTGTGTTTCCTCCTCGACTCCTGCCACTGCAATTCAAACATTTTGCTCTTCAGCCTGAGGGTATTCATACAGGTTTTGAATACGGTGACAAAATGCTGGTGGTCGAGGAATCCTCCACCTAAGCCAGGCGCATTGCAATCTGGAGAAAGAAGCCATTATGCAGACACCGTACTGGACTTTCGCTTTCACGGTTAGCGAGTAGCTGCGACGCGCTCGGTGCTCTCGTGGCCCGTTAAGAGTTCTCAAACCATGTTTGGCCCTCGCCACTCAGTTTATTCAGGGGTCAAAAGGCTGGATCATCCGTGCCATCGCAGTACGGATACTAATTACCAGGAATCAAGAATTCATAATCCACTCAGGTGAGATCCGGGCACGCATCCAGGGCCATCGCTGCCGTGCAGCCAACAAACCATCCAGCTTCCCAAGTTCATGGTCTTCAGCAACGACGACCTCGAATCACGTGCCTTGGATACCAAGCCCAGGAGGATGGTTAACAGCGTCGCATCTCCAGCAAGTCAACGCACGCCGTGGTCACAAGTGAGACTTGTCTTCTCAGGTGCATGAACCAGCATTGCTACTTCGCACGCAACACGATACGGTTGACAGAAGCAAGATATCATCATCCACAACCTGGCGAGGCATCGAGGCATCGACTTGGAAATGAGAAAGCCTCCCCAGCCCTGCGCTTGGTTGCCGCTGGAGACAATGCCCATTCCCCGGATATGAGCAGGCTGCATGGCTTGGAGAATTCAAATGTCGACCCTGTGATTGGGCAACCTCACAAACTCTTGGGCGGTCTGCATGGCCATCCATGCGCTACAACGTCCACGAATTTCCAGCCCTGCGTTCAAACGGCGCTCACCGTTGTATCAACGGGAAAAGAGGAAGAAACCCTTTCGAGACCTCGGAGTATCGTTGTGCCTTCGTCCAAAGTACACTATCAGCATGTCGTGGCAGTACAGACAGAGAACTTGCTTTAAGGCCATTGCCATAGGTTGACGTGAGCTACCCTTAACTAGGAGTTCTCGTGTTCCCAACACCGGTGGCAACCTTCATTGTGCTTTGAAATGGCTCGATACCCGCAAATACAGTATACAAAGAAGAAGAACTTGGAAGTTGGAAGGGATTCGCATTGTTGCATTTCATCGCGAGTCAGGGTGAAGCTGACCCGCTGCTCGAGAAGCAAAATGTTGGCTCAGTCTTTTGAGACTCGGTGTAGGGAGTACGACCGCTCAGACGTTCGACCTATCAGGCGCCTTCATTATCACCAGCTCAAGACCGACCGGTAGACCCGGCTCTACACAGCTGCACGCCCCGGGGTGCAGCTGGCCAAAGACACAGTGCATCTTCTTTCTATCATGGATCTTTCGGCCTAGCGGTGCCCCCTTGAACGAGGTGTCTAGGGCGGTGCCTCGTGTTAACCACCCCGTGGACCGCCGCAAGTTCGCAACCCTAGAGGGGTTCCTGGCAGGCTGGCAAAGAATCTCCAGACTCCATCAACATGCAGGACGTGATACAACGAGAAATTCTCAGGCTCAGCCACCTGACGGGAACACTTTCACGAGGGAAGGCGCTGGCGATCTGAAGTGCCCTTCTAAGCCTACGGTATACAGCACCTAAGGTGTTCGACGCATTCAGCTGAGTCCGGTCCGCTGTGCAAGGCATTTTACGGAGAAAATTCGCGGTCCTGCCGTCGAACACAACAGGCCGAGGAAATACATAGCAAGCGCGCCAGGTCTGCCATTGCCAGGCCCAAGCTGGTTCTCCTGGTTTGGCACGCGGCTGGCCGTCACTGACATACTGCGGACGGATAGTGACACCCAATTAAGGCTCCCCTTGCACCGCCGCCTATTCTATGAATATCTCGGCCTTTCAACCACGCCGACAACTGACCACGACGCTATGAGATGCTAGGGGTTTTGCTTTGGACCCTGAAAACCAAGTCTCAACACGGAATGACAGCCGGTCTCCCTTGGTCTCTTCCAAGGAAGGGTTCAGACTCCACGCCGAACTCTACGGGCAATCGTGTTGACAACTCATCCGCTATGAATGATCATCTGGTGGGAAGACAAAGCACTACGGAGTCAGAGTGGTGTATCAGGAAACCAGTCGCCCAGTCTCCGGCGAGTAGTCGTCACCTATTTGGTGTCACTAGGTTCCAGGCCCGAAGATCGGGTGGGATTTCATCACACCAATACCAACAAACTGCACCGAATTTTATCGATGGCCCACAGACGCAGAGAAGACGCAAAGGCTAAAGTGGTCTTTCTCCAAACTTGTCGTGCCTGTCGTGCCTGTCCAAGGGTCCAACTCCACCATCCGCCTCTAGCGGGTGGCAGGGCACGAGGGCCCCATCATGTGGATGCTCAACCTGGGCCAGCCGAAAAGCTATCGATTCGACCTTTTTTTCTTTTCTGGGACTATTTTTGCGGCCTATCCTAGTTTCTCGATGGATCCCCTCTTTTCTGAGAGGGCACAAGCCAGCCTCTACAGGATTACCTGCAGAATGGGGCTTTTGGGCATCTTCACCGCAACTAGGTTCGAGGGGAACCCGGGCTGGACATGGCGAGAGCTCCAGAATCCAACCCGATCAGATGCCCCTCGCGGTCAGGACCCGTTGCGATACCACGTACTCTGCATCCGTACAGACGACGAAGACTCCTGGTCTCTTTCTGTACGTCTGCCTTTCCAATATCGTTCATTGCATACCAAGGACAAGGCAACCGCAGTTGCCGATGGCACCCTGACGCGGAGATGGCCATAGGAAGGCCCCCACACGATGCTCAACAGAGTGATAGGCGACAGCATCAAAGTCTCTAGATCGATTGTTAGGATTTGGCCAGCTTGAATCAGGGACACCGATCCGGGACGTTGACGATGTCAAAACTTGTCCAAACTTTCCGCTAGTCTTTGCTAAGAAATAAAAAAAATGCACGTCGACGAGAATTTTTCAGGGTACAACGTCAGGCTCCAGGCCGTTGTAACAATTCTCGGACTCTGTGGGCTGATCACGGTTCAACTCGTCATGGTTCGCGAGCGATCTTCTCACGTTTATCCGCTTCTCGACCAGATCTGCCCATAGGACGCCGAAGAAGGGCCTGTCGTCCGCTGCGGCTTTGGCGACAGCCAATGACGAGGTCTGCCGGACGCAACGTCTGCTCTGTCATGAAGTCTCCGATGCCTGCCATCGCCCGCGTTCTCGCCCTCTTCAGGGCTCCTGAGTACCTACCAAGTCCCAGAGCTTAGAGGTCTGAAATGTACCGTTTCCCAAGTTTGTCCCGGCATATCGTCAGTTTGCTACCACATTAGTTTAGCACCAACACTCGCGTGCCTCCTCCCAGCCGCCCAGCCCAGCAAAGTCACCAAAGGCGGGACTGGCGTGACTGTATGATTCGACCGTCTGGCTAGGTACCAAGGCAGCGGCATGTCTGCATACGAGGCACGGCTACCTGACACCCGACGGTTCCGCGTTGCCAGACGTATCTATCCTCGGGACCTTTCACGAATGCTCCCTATTAGCCAGAGGCCATTTACTAATGTCACCATGTCTTACCGTCTACAAAACATCCCCATCACTACCTACCAGCTCCAGGCGGTGTGGGGATGTTGTAGTGTGTTCCTCGATGTTCGCGGCTGTCGACATTTGGAAGGCGCCTCATGGAAGTTGAGGTTGCTTTGCTGACAGCATCTTCGTGCCCGCAGTCGGATCTCATAACTAGATTACCAGACTCTTGAACTCGTCTCGCCGTGCACATCAGCGGGAGTGCAGACGTACTGACGCAGCGGTATGTGATGCGATCATTGCCCAACCAGCCACCTGCGTACGGATACTGGCCGTGGCAAGAAACGGTCTTTGGACTGCGGCAGTGCCGAGGGCAACACAAGTTTGAGCATCGTGACCCAGCTGCCTAGGTGAAAAGTCGCGTAGCAAAGAAACCGGTCAACCTGACAGGTAGTCGAATGACTTGGAACCTTTCTCTTCGCAAACCCCGCAAACCAACCTGGAACTACTCCGTACGGGACTTTGGGGGGGCCATCTAAGTCTTCAAACTTCGACGCCCCCTTGGACTACCAACCTCTCCCCCCTGCCACAGAGCATCACAGCTCTTGGCGTTGAGAGACAGGGCCTACTGCTTAGAAATGCCTTATTAGCGACGATTGGCGACCGTTGACTGGCCGGGTATCTGGAAACCGGTGGAGCGGACGGCGTGCACAGCTGTCCCAGTGGGGATATTCGAGAAGAAAATGCCGCGATTCTGCGTGTCTGTGAAGCCGCCAGTGTTGCAGCCCACTGCACTGAGCCCAGGTCACAACTAGCTATGACCAATCTGCAAGCGATCCCACGATGGACGAACGCCGCGACGGCGCTTGGGACTGAGGATCCAAACAAATGGACTCGAGTCGAAGGGGGGAGTCGAAAGCATGTCATGGACGGGTCCCGGGAGGAGCTATCGGCCCCAAGCCGCCCGCCTCTGCTCCGCACGACCACTCTCAATCGGGACCAGCAGGCGTTCGGCGGAGACGCATCACCATTCACCACCCATCCATCACACTCATCGATGTGTTGGTGCAACCCTCTTGACGTAGTGTTAGTCGCCACGCTCACAGCCCAGCCCGTGACCGATGACCCTACCTATCCGCCGTCAAAGGGACCCCCGAATCGGCTCATCGTCCATCCCCCGAGTTACACCCCACACACACAAAAACACACGCATACGGATACACTATTAGTGAGAGGAGGAGGAGTGGCAGGGAGGCGCAACGACTAAGAAGTGCAGGCAAGGGAGTCACGGAGGGTCAGCCAAGGCTTCCAGAGTGAATCGACAACGTGCTAGAAGATGCACGTTTTGGTCTTGTTTAACGCCCGCCGTCATCTACGGTACGTGGACGGCCTGGCTGCGTGACCCCCAACTTCCGACGCTCGTTGCTGAAGCTGGACCTGCTAATATGGTTCACACCCACAACCTTCCCATGGTGACAAGGAACCTTTTTGACAAAGGCTCTTCCAGCCTGTCGCCCTACCTATGTCATGCCGGCCGTCGGAGGAAGGTTCATCAGCCGAATACAGCCCCCGCCGCCGATGACTGAGTACCTAGCAGACTCGGTCTCAAGCCTCGTCTCGGAGGTATTGGCCACCAGACCCAGGGAAGACGCGCTTGCTAGAGTGCTTGCAGTAGTAGTGCCTTGCCCTTGAGCGGAAGAAAGCGGTAGTGATGGACGGAGAAGAGTCGCGCGGTCCCTGACCTATTCCTGGTTTTCTGTCTTGGAAGATGTGTCTGCAGGATGTGATGGGTTAATGTTTGGAATTAGGTGAGTATCTTACCTCCCCTCGGCCACATGCATTGAGACGGCAAGCCTTTCTCGCGGACGACTTGGCTAGCATCCGGACAATATCACGCACCCGTTCACCAACGGGGTTGTTATCATGCCTCTGTGCCGCAGGCAGCTCAGCCGTTTCGCTCCGTCTCCAATCCCACAGCCGGTGATCCTGACCTCGCATCTTACACACACACACCCCCCGCCCAGACACGCGAACACCCAGTCGTCATCACCCTCGTGTTAATCCGCCCGCCTGCCCATATCACTCAAGCGCTTACTACACATCCCCGTTGAGACGAGACGTGCGCGTTCAAGAGGGCGGTTGTCTGCTGCCTCCAGGCGAACACGCACTGGGCTCGATATCGCATTGTCTACCCCGGACTGGACGGATCTGGGACTCCCACCCAGCGTATCCGGACGGGCCGCCGTTGACCAGTCGGTGATCTGACGACCTGGCTCCGAGAGTTCGTTGCAGCCACCGTGAACTTGCGCATCAATCATGCCTCATTTTTGTTTGCCTCCAGTCGAAAGGGGAAAGGCAAAGCAAAAGCAGCCCACTAGTCGGTAGATTGTCAGCCACGCTTCGTTTTTGAACACATTGCGCCAGACGCAAAACGGCCATGCGCGTGGCGTCCGTCCGTACCGACAAGGCCGTATCGTATCTCAGCTTCCCTTGGATTCGCGATTCGGCCGGATAGCGGTAGACGGCACATGCAACTTGTCTTCGTTGTGACCTGCTGCTGGTAATTGCGGCCTTTGCGAGCGGTGAGAAAGGGCATGGCGCGACTTAGACATACATGTCTGCCTGCCTACCGTCTTTTTGACGCCAGTACTCTCTCGTCCGGTTCACTCTGTGAGAGCTTACGCTCGTCACGACTTTGCTCTTTACGGACATTTTTTGTCTCGGCAATCGCAGGCAAACACTTCTACTAGGCCAAGCGTGTCTTTCGTCTTTTCGCCAGAGAGAGGGAGACCATCAGTCAACCCAGGCTGCAGCCAACAGTAGCTCCTGGGTTCAATAGCTAGTGACTGCCGAACGACTCACTGCACTAATCCTGTTGCCCTGCCCTTGCCCTGCCCTGGCCCCCTTCTGCGCCGCATCCTGCAGCGGTGGCCAGCGCCGGGGCATGCGAGCTTCGAAGTTCAAGGCGCGTGATCTTGCTTTGCACACCACGTATAGGCAGCACACACGCAACCCGCGCACTCACGCTCACGCACGCTGAACGGACGGAACGAGCTGGAAGCACGTAGACGCAGCGGACGGGACGGTGAGTATTTTATTTCGGGATGTGCTGAGTCTCGTGCTTTTTCTGGTTGGGTGACTTTTGCTTTAGCGTTGGCTGGGTTGTGGACTTGCTTGGTCGGGACGCCGGCTTGAGCCCAGCGAGCGGCCTGTGGCTGCTGCTGCTGCATCCATGTTGGCTGTTCGCTGGCCATTGGGTGTGGCATGACACCCTCTCTCATTGATCCCACCACCAGTCCGCTACATCCTAAAGCTCCCCCATGCCGGATCGTGCCGTTGGGCTGGGTTGAACGACCGGTCACGTTTCTGCGGTTGGACGAGCCTTGGAGGTGAGGATGGGTGACTAATCCGGGGGGAAGGGTGATGTCGCCAATATCCCACTCATTGCTTGCCTTGACGACGCTAGCTTCTTGGGCTCGGGCTTTGCTCTCGACCATGGCATTTTTGCTGTAGAGTGTCACGGAGGTGCAATAGTATAGAGTGCAGGCCGCCTCCTTGCCCTTGCCTTGCTGTAAAACTGAGCAGAACGTAAAAGCGGATCTACTGCAATGCACCGTCCGGAGATCTGTTATGAGATCTCATTGACGTCCTTGATTCTAGGCGCGATGGCTCGCCCGATGCCAATCTATCGCACTCTATAGCCAAGCGTGTTCAAGTACACGCATAATACTATGAATGCATTCTTATACTTGTATCTTCAAGAGTGGATGATGAATCCCTGCCTTGCTCGGAGCGGTCCGCTAAAAGTGTCCCGCGTAGCCCAGAGACAAACGCTCAACGAGCGGTCGATCTAGAAGAATAGCAACCGTGAGGTGAGCGAAGCAAGTGATGTCATGTTCCCAAGGGCAAACGAACCCACAGACGGAGAAGAAGCTACAAGGCTACGATAAGCTTTTTCGAAACCTAGTTTGATGCCACCGACTTACTTGTGTCGCTCGGTTTGGCGGTACCATGGACGCAGTGTGTCGTCTGGGTGCCTGTTGAGTGCTCCGTTTTGATGCTGTGGTTCCGCTGTTCTGCGTATGCCCTTTCTTCGGATGGAAAATCCAGTGAGTCTGCGGTTGCGACGTGTGTAGTTATTCTGGTTTGTCGGGTTTGTACGTGTGGTTTTGATGTGGCTTTGACTCGGAAGTTTTCTGGCATGTCTGTGGTGACGGCCCGAGTCGTCGCCGCTGCCATCACTCCCCTCCTCTTGAAGACGACCCAGAGATGTGGGAGGGCTTTGGGCGAGGGTAGGGTACGGATGTGAGGAGAGTTTGAGGAAGCTATGGGCAAGTCAGCGTCGGGGGGTTTTTATATTCTGATTGTGGTTGGGTGAGTGTGAGAGGGAGGAGAAGGGGTTGGTAGGGGACTTTGAGACGCACGGATGATTGGATATGATGTCTGTGGGTTGGATTGAGTAAGAATGGCAACGGGAAGGGAGAAGTTTGTGATGGGTGTGCATGTGGAAGGTGTTGAAGAGGTGTTTTGAGGTTTCGTGATGTTGTAGTGTTGCGATGTTGTAGTGTTGCGATGTTGTGGTGTGGTGATGTTGCGAGACTGGAAGGTCCAGTCTGTTTTGTTGATTTTGGGAAACCAGTATTAGCAACGATCATTGGTTCGGTTTTGCTTTCGCTTTCGAAGTGTCGTTTGTAAAAGGCGAGAGATTCTAACAGCTGACTATCTACTCCTGCCTTTCTAAACACGGCCGTCGTAGCGAGTATATATCGAGGCCTTGAGTCAGGAATAGTTCTGTCCGGCAAGCCAGTCAACAGCAGGAATACCCTCGTTGATCAGCCAGGGGGCATTGCGGAGGACCCAGTTCCAAAAGTCCTTCTTGACTGCCACCTTGTTGATGGTGGCCAATCTCGAAACCTGTCGGCCTTTATCTCTTAAGCTAGGAACTATGGGTTCTGTTCAACGGTGCCCGTTCGTGCTTGTTCCGTATTCGTGAGGCTGGCGTGACGAATACGGGGAGGGAGGTGGACGAGCGGTATGGACGTGGTGTGAAGACTATTTCTACGGAATAGGAAGGGTTATAAACGAACGTTCAGGATATGGTGTAAAGATCATCTTTACAATACAGGAAGGGAGGTGAACGGACGCTGAGGACGTGGCGTGAAGGTTGTCTTTGTGGGTTTAGATATGGACGTGAATGATTATCACCGGTAGATAGATGTCCAAGTGAATGAACGATAATAAGAAAAACACAGAGGCCTTCAATCCATCGTAAGGAGATGCCAAATATTGGATTGTCTTGGATAATCTTAGCTTCTTCGTTAGGCTCCTGCTTGATACAGGGGCCCTCAGTTCTTGGGTATAGATTCTCTTTGATTGTCAAGGATAGGGTCTTCCCCAACAAAGACGGGATAATGGCCAGGCCATCGGGTCCTCTGCCATACTTGATACGACGTACTAGCCTTCCCTCTCCCACTCAAACTCCCTTTTTCTCTGTACTCACACTGAAAGTATCCGCCCGTACAATCTTCCTGTCAAAGTCGTCCTGGCTCAGTATCATCTCCTGACTGCTGCAACTTCTCGCCCCCGCGATCTTTGATTCCGTCTCGTCCAGGCTGTCTTCGTCAGTTCGTCTCTCCACCCTCGTGATGGTCCCCCATGTGCGCGGTTGCGCCTCCGTCTCGGACTTTGCCCTTCCACTAGGGCCCATTTCATAGTTCTCGTAGGTATGTCTGCCTCCCCTGGGACCGGATCCGAATATGCGCTTGCCAAAGATGCGCTCGCCGAGCGGTTGAAGTATGGGTATACAGGCGGCTATGATCATTGTGCCGCCTTCGACTCTGTGTGGTTCGGAATAGATTAGCGTTGCGTGCACTTTGGATGGCTCGTCTCTTACTCACATTGTCCAAATTACCAAGTCCGCCGTATCGTCTGGAGGGATATCATCAGCCTGAAGAGCATAGATGGCAGTGGAAGCGAGCCCATGACATACATGTGAAGTCGCTGCTCGCAAGACTTGGGACGCGGGTGCATTTGTAGACCGCGACCACGGACGAGCTAACCAATGTCAGCACATTCTTGTCGTGATGGCTACCGACTGACTCCTTACATAGACCCAATGCCCAGCGCAACACTCAAAGCTGCCTTTTTCTTGATGCTCATCTGTAGTCTCGCAAGCACCAATGCTGGATAGACAGCGAGGTACAAGTCAACAAAGGCGCCAAAGGCTATCTCACACGTCAGCAGGCCGTTGCATTAACTTGGCCTCATTATCAAGGTAAACTTAGCCTCGTACCTCCCGTGTAAATAGCAAACGAGACCAATATCCATTTATTCAGGCAGTGACCAGGCACGGAAAAGTCCCATTGCGATTGCGTTGGCTGGCAATGTGTGAAGAGGAGAATCATGTTGGCCGTCAGGTTGAGCAGGCAGAAGAGTGACAGGGCCCAGAGGAACGTCTTGTGCCATGGACTCGGGTTCAAGATTCGCGTCAGGAGGGCGACGACGGCGAGCTTGGGTAGGCCAAACGACATGACGCCGGCTGGGAAGCCAGCGATTGTCCAAAAGATGGCTCCGGACTTTTGCTGGGTGGTCAAGAGCTCGAAGTGTAGGCCCATGCCATGTGATACAGCAACTACGGCGGTCGCGACGCTCACCCAGCTACAGATCTATATGAGGTTGGTGAACCTAGTCAGACAGCCAATGTTGGAGTATTTGATTTGAGACAACTCACTACTGACGCCACGATGAGGTAGTCATCTGAATGGACCTTCTTGAGTATCACGCCCCGTACATAGAGTCTTGCTGCAGTGAAGAGGGTGCTGAGAGCCGTGACTGAGATGATGATCCCCAGCGAAGAAGGTCCCTTATTTTCGTTGTCGTTTGATGTTGATGTTGACATTGCTCTTGTGGAAAGGCGGCAATTGAGAATTGATGGGATCGAAGCAAGCCAATTCTAGGAAGTAGGGATGAGAAGAGGGGAATACAGACAGATACAATCTGTGATAAAAAAGTGCACATCCTTCACTGCGTACGCCGGCATGGCTGCGGCTCTGGGACCGAAGTACAGGAATACTCGCTTCCTCGCGAACATATTACCAGCCGGAAATCACAAATCCTTCACTCTCTAATGCTCCCGCCTGTTCGAGCCAGATCTTTCGGGGATTCCAGCCGAAGATATGATGAATCGGACCATCGATGGTACCCGGTCCACAAAATCGAGATGCTGCGCAAGCAGGATGAACCAATATCTGTTGGACTAACAAGATCCTCCTGGTTTCGAACCAGCCTAGGCTCATGAAGCGAATGAGCTCTCCTAGGTGGGGCTGGGGTGATTCCGGGATGCTTCACCCCAAAAAGGACTGTTGGACATGGTTCTGTTGCAATGATGCAGGACCAACAGGTCTGTTGGTCCAGAGTTGCAGCAGAACCTTGCATGCGAGCGTGTAGAATAGATGAGAGCTTCCGTGTTTGAACCTTGGCGATCATGGGAAAAAATTCATCGGACATGGGTTCTTGTGAAGGGTTTACATGAAGAGCATATGGCTATATGCGAAGAAAAGCATACAAATATGCTCGGCGATGTCCCGCACCACTGTCAAATACCCTATGCCATCAAATCCGACGTACTTGGGACCAGCATTGAAAACACAGTATCTTTCACATACCTTACTGAGCCTCACGACCGTTCATCGTTCCTACTATTGATCATCCGCCATGGGCTCGGTCCCGGACAATCTTTCTCATGGCGTCTCAGTCGACATGGTAACTCAGCCCAGCAACCCAAAAGATGTAGCAACGTTGTTGAATAGCATCAGCACGTTGGGCGCCTCCTCACTCGACAATGAGCAGAATCGCCTTAATCTTCTGAAGCAAGCTCGTCTGCTGGTCCAGGCTCTAGAGACACCCAGAGAGACTATGATCAAGCACCTGTGGGCACAGGTATTACAAGGTCATGCAAAGGGAGTAGACGGTGTAATTTGCTAATTGAACTTGATACACAGCCTGCCACTGGCTGCGCCATCGCCTCAGGAGTTGAATCGGGTCTCTTCGACTTCATGGCCCGAAATCCAGGGCCGAAGACCGTAGACCAACTCGCCGCAGAACTAGACTTCGAGAAAGATTTACTAGCGCGTTCGATGAGGCATCTGGCGTCGACCGGATATCTACGCGAGATCGGTGTTGACGAGTACGAGACGAACCACTTTTCGAGATCACTGACTCTTCCTATTATTGGCAGCGCCTACTCTTGCGTGTAAGTCTTCATGATCTAGCAGGCATGAGAGATCTAGAAAACTAATGGCCTCTTCCAGAGTCGGCGGCGTGTGGCCTACCTTTTGCAACTTCCCCACGTATCTCAAGAAGAACGGGCGGAGAATGACGCCAGATATAGGACCTCTACAAGATGCCAGTGGCAGTAAGAAGGATTTTTTCACACATATCATGGAAAAGTACCCCGCCGGCGAGTTTCAGCAGTTCATGAAAGGATACGGCCAGGGGA